AACTTTGAAGACAGGGACGTGGAGACTGGGGAAGAAGACTGGCACTGTTTTCTTTGTGACAGTGCCAGTTCAATTACTTGTGTTGTATAGGGTTGGATTTTTTTAAACCTTGGTTAATGATGGAGCATTGCTTTGTCTTTTTTTGCCATTCTTAACGTAAGAGGAGAGATGTCTCTGTGGTGTTACTCTGGTATCTCTGAAATCTAGGCTTTGTTCCAGGCTTCTGAAATTAATTTTGGCAAATCCATTTATCTCTTTCTGTGTTTCAGTCCACTATGAGACTATGAGTAAAATGAGAATGATTAACTTTCCTAACTCTTAGAGGGATCTTAAGGATTTATATGTAGAATGTGGCATATTTAGTGTCTACAAGTTTGAGGAGCCTGAAAAAAAAACACAATAAAATAAACCTAACAGAATATGTAAAGGTAGATCGTATTCACTATTCCTCTGTCGTTATTTGGTAGTAGCTGTTATCAATTGCTACTTTATTTCATTGAATTCAAGCCTCAACGTTAAGTTCCTGTTAACAGGGCAGATAGCAGCAGAATAAAATAACAGCACCATGACAAGACTCATAAAAATTTATATTAAGAGATTCTCCAGGTTGTCTGTTGTTCTCTCAGAGTGGAGATTAAAATCATTGTTTAATGTACAGCTGTTCTTATAGTGTGTATTTTTCTTTGATGGGCCTGGAGTCAGGACCACCTTTAAAGTAGTGGAAGATGGCTACCTCTGACCTTTGGGTGGTTAAATCAGGGTGATATATGCCTGTTGAGATGTGGGTTGCATTCAGTCTTGCTCCCAAAAGAAAGCAAGCCAGTAAATTACACTCTCTCATCCATGCTGTCGTTTAGCTGGTATCTTCTCTGTGCTCCTAGGCAGAGGCTAAGATACAGCACGCGCTGGGATTGAGCAGCAATTCAGCAACAGAGCAATACGCTGTAAGCTAGCTGATGGTGTCTATATGATTTACTCTCTCGGGCTTTTGTAGGAATCAGCCTTTTTTTTGGCAGGGTGCAGAGAAATGCAAATGGCTCAGCTTTACAGAGTTGACGTTTGCTCTCAATTTCCCTCAGGTTGAGTAGCTCCACTGAGCAAAGTACTTCATCCCGGCTCATACGGAAGCATAAACGCAGGAGGAGGAAACAAAGGATGCGGCAGATTGACAGGGTAAGGTTGACATCATAATTTTCCAAGGCGGTGAACCGTGATTTTGAGTGTAGTATGTGAATTAGGAGGGAATTCAGAACAGACCTGTGCCCTGTGGAATTCATTGGAAAGGCTCCCTTTGGCTCCAATCTACCCTGGACTAAATCTCTAACGTTTGAAGTTCTGCAGCACTAGAGTCAAGACTCTTTCTCCTCTCCCTTTCTCCTTTTACTGCTAAGTGATCGTATTTCTTGTTGTCTCTTTCAAGACCAGCCTCTGCAGGAGAACCTCCATTATGCTACTGGCTGATGTAGGCAAAGGGTGTCTGTGGTGTTAGACATCTGATGTATAAATTGCTGAGACTTGCATTCTGCTGAAAGGAGAAATCTACATTTATAGGAAATCGTAAATCTTTTCTCTCGCCCTTTTCTGTGCTAGTCCTATGGCAGCAGAATGAGGATGGTCCAAATGGCATACTTCTTGAAGTAACTGTTTCGTTTTTCTGTAAATATCAGTCTTCACAGATTAAAGAATGAATATGCATACATTTTATCACAAGAACTGGAGTAATGTTTTAGAAGATATTTGATAAGCACTTTTGTATTTCATTTTGGAGGGTGGGGAGTGTCTGTCTTCTCACTTCCTGAAGGATCATGAGTTGTTCACTCCTCTCATTAGTGAGGAGCCGTAGATGTAGTAATTCACACTACACTGGGCACTTCAGTATTTAAATGTCTGCCTGTCAGTCATGTAGTCAGGAAGCAGAAATGATTCAATATGAAGTTCAGTTGAGCAACCTCAATATAGGAACTTGCTCTGTGTGTTTTGTAAACAAATCTTTGGAGAAAGTGCAGATTGTGTTCAGATTTTTTTTCCTTACAGATTCTAAATGAAGAATAATTTTGAGGAGACCACAATGGTTTCTGGATGCCTTCCAAATGGAAACCTATTTATCAGTTCCCGATGAATTAATCCTCAATAGTTATTTTTATTGTCTTATTCTGAGCCATTTAAAACCTTGAGAATTTTCTGTTGTATTTTGCAGTCGTCTTCGTTCAGCAGCATCACTGATTCTACCATGTCCCTAAATATCATCACTGTCACACTCAACATGGGTAAGAGGATAAGCAATGTTTTTTATGATGAATTTCAAGTGATACAGATGTATTTTGTCATGGCGTAGTAGCCTTTGGAGCCAGTAGAAAGTTCCTTGATTTGAAAGAATGCCAATTGAACTAAAGGGAATGGCAGCTGAGAGTTGCTACGCTGTTGACTGTGCCTGGGCTCCTAGTCCAGTACTGGATAGTTCTCAGCCATTTGCAGAAGCAGATCAGTATTCTTCCCGAGAAGCCCAGGGAAGGAGCTGGAACTCCAGGATATGGAGTTCTGCTTTTATTTCAAGGAATGGTAAGGAGTCAGACCTTTTAGGAGCTAGAGTAGAAGGGCACTGGAGGTTTGCATTTCTGCTGCTCATGCGTCTCTTTGTTTAGCCAGATAGAAGTGTGCAGGACTGCCAATTCAGCATGTTTCAGTAGCACCACATTCTTCCTGCCACTGTGACACGTGGAAAAAACATTGCCTAATGCTGATCGGGTGGATAATTTCTAGGTGTAGACATGTCTTTTCAATGTCGTTTCTCTTGCTGATTTTTTGAATGTAACTTTTCAGTGTCCTGTATGAAAAAACAATGTCTTTAGCAGCGTTTCCCTGAACGTGCCAGGCAGACATACGCCAATAGGGTAACCTGAGATAATTGTAAGTCAAACATGGCCCAGCTGATGTGTTGAGAGAACTGATTTTTCAAGACTGAAGTAGCCTGGTGTTAGCTCTTCACTATCGTTCCAATCACCTTGTTTGCTTTTTTTCCTCCCCACCCTCCACTTTCTATCTGTATAGAAAAGTATAACTTCCTGGGAATCAGCATTGTAGGACAGAGCAATGACCGGGGTGATGGTGGCATATACATTGGCTCTATTATGAAAGGAGGGGCTGTGGCAGCAGATGGCCGAATTGAACCAGGAGACATGCTTCTGCAGGTTGGTCTGTGTCCAAAAATACATGCTGCTGGCTTGTACATTGGTGGCTCAGCTCAGGCATCCCACCAGATCCGTGGACTTAGTAATCAGTTAACAGAATGCATTCATACTCCGAGAAATGTGTCACAAAGACTATTATCACTTAAATCTATAATTCTTTGCAAACTCTGCTGGATAGTTGGTATGCTCTGAGAAACAGTATTTCTGCAGCTGCTCAGAGGAATGGAAACCGTTACAAGGCAAATAAATTTGGAAACAAATAATTACAATGTCTTTAATTTTCCTGTTGCAAAGCTTGACCTCTGCTTTTTGCAACGTTTCAGGTGAATGATGTCAATTTTGAGAACATGAGCAATGATGATGCAGTACGGGTTTTACGGGAAATAGTCTCCAAACCAGGGTGAGCATATTACAAAATCTCTTGCTACTTATCCTCTATATGCAGTTATTGGTACTGGGCAAACCTCAGAGAAATCAACATTTTGATCTCAATAAGGAACGAGTGTGACTGCTGATCTCAAGTCTGAACTTCTCAGTGTAAATGAAAAGGTGAGACTGGTTCCAACGTACTAGCCAAAACCAACACAAACTAGGAGTTGCCTGGTTTCAGTAGCACTATTTGTTTATACGATGAGCGTTTTAATATCTCAAGAACTGATCATTTGACAGATTTCACCAATAGTGCTCGTGATCTGTGCAAAACCAGAAACATCCTGATACTGATTCATACTGAAAATACTTCGACAAGCATCTCAAAAGCGTTCTCAGAATGTACTTGACAACTGTTGGATAGGAATAAGTTTGTTTCAAAGAGTTTGTTGTAGCAGTTAGAATTTCTGTAGGGA